GATATTTCTGGAAAGCTTGAAAAGTACCCTGAGTGTCACTTTCTGGAATGAAGTGAGGAAGTGTAGTACCACTATACTTAGTGCAGTGACTTATTTATTTTAAGATGATCAGTTTTCCTGCTAATTCTGTTATTGCATCTATCACTGCCATTCAAGTCCCCTTGATGTGCTTAGGTAGCAGTATGACACCAGGATCCACAGTTTGCAACACCCAGTGCAAAATGTCGCTCAGCTTTCACTTCTTGAACTTGGCTGCTGACTTCCCTGTGATTCCTCTCAGTCCCCTTCGCAGTGAACAGATCTGCTAGGGAGTGGTTGAACAGGATTGGAATGATAGTGGCTTTATGTTGCTATTCCTATGGGGGCACAGAGACCATGGAGAATTAGACAGAGACTTGTCAAAGTGTGTCAGCTCTTTAACGCTGAAGCTTTATAGAGGTGTGAACTCTAGTAAAAGGCATGCTTTAGCACCCTGATTAGATCTGCTTAACCTAGCAATTCTGAAAGTGACTCAAGCCTACGTAATTGTTACTACATGATAAAATTCAGCTACGTTCTGAATATTATAAATCCAGCACAGCTGCGTGGTTCCCAGGGGTTCCACCTGCAGAAGCGCCGAGTAGTTGTTTACCTTCTCAGGGTCTGCCACCGGTGTGGGTACTCAGTAAGTGTGTGTGGGAGGAAGATCAGCGCCATCTATAAGCCAACTCTTTCCAGTTTTGTACGTTTTTAATCTACTAATGAAGCTTGTCTCATTGATTTTAATCCTAATTTAACATTGAACGTAAACATTCTAGATTCTTCTCTCTTGTGTCTACTTTGTGCACTGCAGGAGATATTGTTACTCCCATTCTTTCTAAAGTTACCAGCAGTCCAGAGTTTCTTTCACTAATTCAAGTTTTTTTTTCCCTCATCTCTGTTTTAAAAGAATAACTATTTGATTTGCAATCTATAAAACAGAATGTGGGAAGCATCAAAAAATTATGTCTTCTCTTAATGGGAAACTATCATCACATCATCACTATTGTACTAGTAGCTGTAAATAATACTTGTTAAGCACTAACATCTAGACCAGGGGTGGGCAAACTTTTTGACTCGAGGGCCACAATGGGTTCTTAAACTGGACCGGAGGGCCGGAATAAAAGCATGGATGGAGTGTTTGTGTGAACTAATATAAATTCAAAGTAAACATCATTACATAAAAGGGTACGGTCTTTTTTTTTTTTTTAGTTTTTTTTTTAAATATATTTTATTGATTTCTTACAGAGAGGAAGGGAGAGAGACAGAGAGCTAGAAACATCGATGAGATCGATCAGCTGCCTCCTGCACATCCCCCACTGGGGATGTGCCCACAACCCAGGTACATGTCCTTGACCGGAACCGAACCCGGGACCCCTCAGTCCGCAGGCCGACGCTCCATCCACTGAGCCAAACCGGTCTTGGCTGCGGGCCGTAGTTTGCCCACGGCTGATCTAGACAGTGTGCACAGTTTTCTTTTTTTTTGTGATCGTTAATCATATCATCACAGCAAGTCTGCAGAGTTTTACAGAAGAAGAAACTGAAGGTCAAAGAAGTTAGGCATCTATACATATATAAAACCCTAATATGCAAATAGACTGAACGGTGGAACAACCGAATAGCCGGTCGCTATGATGTGCGCTGACCACTAGGGGGCGTACGCAGAACATGGCGGGGTGTCGGCCGCAGCAGGATAGTGGAGCAGGTGAGCGAGGGTGCCAGACCAAGGCGGGGCACCAGTCGCTGTCATTGGGGCGAGCCTCTGGTGGCGCTGGCCCCACTCTCATCCACTGCTGGCGCTGGAGCCACTGCTTGCACCTGCTGCCGGCGCCCGGCACTGGCCCCAATCGCTCAGTGCCGTCAGTGGGTGTGAGTGGCAGCTGCTGGCCCGATCGCCCCTCAGGGCTTCTCTACCTCCCTCTGCTCCTGAGGGGCAATCGGGGCTGGCAGCCCCCTCTCGCATCCGCTGCCGATGCCAGAGTCACCACTCGCACTCAATGCCAGCGCCGGCCCCAATCGCCCCTGAAACCTTCTCCACCTCCCCCTGCTCCTGAGGGGGGATCGGGACAGCAGCTGCCGCTCGCACTCACTGACGGCGCCAGTCCCACTCACACCCGCTGCTGGCGCCGGCTCCAATCGCTCTGTGCCATCAATGGGTGCGAGCAGGGTCAGCGCCATCAGCACGTGGGAGCGGCAGCAGCAGGAGTGGAGCTGCCGGCAGACATAGACCGGGGGCCACGGCAGGAGGTGCCAGGTGGGGGTGTGGGTGATGGTCCAAGACCCGCCCCTGTACCCACCGCAGCCTAGCAGCCCACAGTTCCTTTCAAGGTGCATGAATTCGTGCACTGGGCCCCTAGTCTTAAATAAAAGCCCGCTGCTAGGATGTGACACTCCTAGGATTTAAAGCTAGGTATGTCTGCTTGAAAGCCTGTGCTACTAACCATTTTACCATATTATAAAGTGGACGTACTGAGGATATTTCATGATGAATGAAGATATTTTGCAGACTCAGAACTACAGTGGGGCCTTGACTTACGAGTTTAATTCGTTCCAGACCAAGCTCGTTAAGGAGCTCGTTAACTCAAATTACTCTGTCAACTCAATGCAAAAAATCGGCCAAGAGACAGCTGGTATCTCAAAAAACTCATTAGTCGGGACACTCGTAAGTCAAGGCCCCACTGTATCTGTAATTAACAGAGGTGTGTATAGATAATAAGTGTCAGAAGTTATTCCACTTGCTTTTCTTTGAAATGTTTGGCAATGCTCATCTAGTAATAATAAAAAAACATTGTACAGCACAGGGAGGGGGAATAAGGACAGAAGTATTCTTGATCGAATAAAGGCAATGATTGAAAGAAAAAGGCTTCCTTCTTCCTCCCTAGGTTCCATGCAATTAAGGTGGGGGGGGGGGCGGAGAGAAACACAGATTCTCTTCTCTTTCCAGAAAACTGCCTGTTCAAGGAGAGATAGAAAGGCCAAACCAAAGGTGTATTAGAGCAGAATGAACCTTCTCTCTGAAACAAGTATTCAGCCTCCTTCATTCATGCATCAGACTTAATGATATGATGACATTGCTGGTATATTTCCATTGGATGTGGTCGCTGACAGTGCTGCCCGAAAGGACCATTTTTAGAAGTGGGAGTTCATGTATGAATTTTCTGTTTGTACGCAATCACAACCTTTCACATTCTCAAGTGTGTGAAAAGACTTGAGGTTGAATAGTAAAGCTGTTTGCAGGTGTAGCCTCTTGCCTTCAATGAGGGTTTACAACTCTTAAAAACAACTTTTGAGGAAAGCTTTCCATTTGATGTGGATGGTGGCGAGAGTTATTTATGTGTTGTGGAGCCAGTGTGATTCCCTGATGAGGAGAAAATTCCCAACTAATGATCCAGCAGTTGGGCTTTGGTCAAAGCGAATTACAGTATAGCTTTCAAATCTGAGTAGTTACATTCAGAGCTTATGGCCCTAATGTAGGGGAGGATGCTGGTGTTGCTTGCTTGCTTGCTTGCTTTTTTTTTAAGTGGAAAGGGTGTGAGTGGGATCTGTACTTCCACTATTTCTAATCCCATGTGGCTATGGCTTGGTCATCAATCTTTCTGGCCAAGAGACATCTTTGTTTACCCCTCAACTTTACTAAAACCACAAAGGTGGAGAGGAAAATGCCTATTCATTAATGTCAGACACTAATTCAAATAGCTTACAGGCCCCAGTTGAGCATTAAATAAACCTTCGTATATAGTGTGAGTCAGACATGGTTCTGTCAGACGTGTTTTTAGATATGTGGTTGTTTTAGACATCAAGGCAGTGTGTAAAAATTTTTTTCCAGGTTTTATATATTTGAAATGGAAATGAATGAATATGCTTTCAGTTTTGTACCAGCAATTTTGTATAGCTTTTATTTTAGTATCCAAATGATAGATTTTATTTTTCAATCCACCAAAAACATTTTATTTGCCAAATATTTGGTAATCTGAAGGCATATCATCTAGATATTTAGAACCTAAGAATGCCTCAGTTCACTTTCTCCAGAGAGATAGATAGATAAATAGACAGACATATGTATATCTGTATGTTTATTTCTCTGTATATATGCCTCTGCGTGTGTGTGACTGTGTGTTTGTGTGTGTATTTCCATTTGGAAAGTAAAAAATTTTAATTCCTTCAACTAAAAATAAAATTAAAAATTGCTTGTACTATTATTTTCCTTTAACCATACATAATTTTTTGACTTTCTTACTTTGGCATCTCACAGATTCAGTTATCTAGCAATTGAAATGACCTGCTATTTAAATCTATTCAAATAATGGCCAGTACAAATGTGTAGACCTATAGTGTTAACTGGATGTTAAGTGGATGTACCTTGTATATCCACTTCTTCCCTCACAGCATTCACTAGAAAAACATATTCAGAATAAATAAAGTAATATATAATGACTGATAATTATATCACTAAGATGCTGTTGTGTTGCCACACTATAATTGAATTTTTAAGTTAAGGCTGCTAGAAAAAGGAGCGATTTAAATGTATGACATACAAATTCTACACTCTATGATTGTAGTTACTTAAATTAACCTCTGTAAAATTATTAGCATGTGGTTTTTTATTTATAACCTCAATTTATTTAATAACTATGTAGCCAGAAGATTTCTGTACCCCACTCTCTTTGCTCTGTACTGGGGATGCAGCTAAAGGAAGATGAAACTGCTCTTATCCTCATGGAACATTCAGACCAGCATGGCAACACTGCTTTCTGTGCAACAGTATCATTTTACCCTCAGGGTTGAATTTACAGGCGGTCTGTCTGAGCATACGGCTGTGCATATTACTTACAGAATTAACTAAAAATCAGTGTCTCAGTGATTATGAATTATGACGGTGGGCCCCCTAGAAAAGCCGTTTCTTGTAAGAAGTGATTGGAAGACCTCTTGGGGGAGCGGAAATGCCTGAGCTTTTTTTGTTTGCTTTTTTCCCTTCTTTATAGAGTCAGCGCTGGAAGGCCTTGATGATCTAGGTACTGTTTACCACCACGTTGACCGGCAGCTGAACCAAACAATTAGGCGTCGCAGACATGCGGGAGACAACGATTACAACATTGAAGTGCTGCTGGGAGTGGATGACTCTGTGGTCCGTTTCCATGGCAAAGAGCACGTCCAAAACTACCTCCTCACCCTGATGAACATTGTGAGTAGTGCCTCCTTTTTGAGGTTTTTTTTAATCTTGTAATTCATGTCTGTCTTGTTAGTGTCTTCTGAAAATCTACATGAGCCCTTCCATGACTGTGCCCCACGCCCAAATGTGTACATACTACATTAAATGCAAACGGTAACGTATACAGTTAACATACAGTATATGGTGCAAAAATGAAGGAAACATGAAGCACACATTTCTTTTGGTTGATCTACTAGTTTTCTATTGTCATCAAGGGGAAATGATAAATTTAAGAAGTCATAATGCGGTGGGACTGTGACATGAATTATGTTTCTCATTTTGTTTGGGGAACAATCAAAACTCTCAGGGCTTAGTCTGCCTGCCTTGGTGTGGTCCACGGGGGATAAAACATCCTTTTAGCATGGTTTTGTGTACTGAAATGATAAAGAATGACTTAGGCCTGGTAACTCTGTGGGGATGCTTGTTGGTAGAGCTTTTGAATAAGAGTGATATTTTTCAGTATTATATTATGAAGGCAATATATTTTTCAAAGCACAGTCAAGTCTTGGCACAGTGCTGCAATGCATTCATAAAGGGCTCTTTAAATTTGTTCTTCATTTCTTCTTTATGAGTCTTAATCACATCCAGAAGAAATTTAGTCAACGTTCTCAAACTAGTGTTTTTTTTCCTTGTGAATTGACAGAGAAAAATTGAGAAATAATATATAAATCACTTACTTCTAAAAGACCATTAGGATAGAAGTGCAATCTATTTTACATATTTTATCCTTTGGAATTATGAAATGCATATTATATTGATCTATCAAATATATTACCTCAGTCAGTTGTTTCTCTCTTTCAGCTTTTGACTATAATTGTAATCTCTTTGGGCATCTATGTTGGGCATCTATCTTTTTTCCATGCTTAACATTAAATTTCAAATAATTCTACTGGGGGAGAAAAGTATTAATTTTACTAATCATGATTTTATTTATTCTAATGTTTAAGCCTATATGTTAAATATATTTTTGTTCATTGAGATGTCAGTTTATAAAATTCCATATATACCATGTCTCTTTAAAACAGAAAATGAGTCTAGAAATTCAAACACATTTTTATTTGTTCATTGCTACTAACTCCTATCATGAAGACCAATTATCACACACACACAAAAACAAATGATTGGCCTTGTCCATAGATGTGTAAAGAGCTTCACCACTGTGAATTAAATGAATACCCTCAACTATTGGCTGTTAACTGTTTACATGAGGCTAGTTGCGTAACTTTGAGTATATGGATTAGCTTCTCTGTGCCCGCTTTAAGCTTCCATCGGGGTAACGAGAAAAAAGTATAGGACTTACTAGGGATGTTGGGAGGACTGAATGAGTAGATGCAAGATGTGTGCTTTATACAGTGCTGTATGCACACGCAGAAGAACACAGTCATGTTTTAGATTTCTATATGACCTAATATTTAAAAGTTTCTGTAGAGATGCTGTTCCCAGTTGCATTGATCATTGTACCCCTTGGCTGCTTTCTCCTACCATTAGCAAGACAGTCAATTATGAAAGACTTGTTAAGCCTCTAACTGGTGCTCAGACTACAGAAAGCGCTTGGAGTAATGCAGCAGATATTCGATGTGGTCCTTTGTCCTCACAGAACTTCTCATTTAGTTGAGGAGAAAAAAGAAATGTAAGGGAAATTTTAAAGTTTGAACAATAAAAGGCATCTATTCATAAGGTGTTTATTGCAGGTGCTACATTATAAGTTCTATAAGACTTTAGGGAAGGGAGCTATGACAGTGGTCATCGAAGTTGTAAAGTGCTGAGAATACAGCTGGGACTTAGGAGGCAGAGGCTTTTGTTTGAGCTCTATTCACTGGTTGGCTCTGGGACTTCTTTCCTGGGATGTAGATTGTGTATTTATAAAATGTAAAGTTTTAACAAGATGTTCATTGATCATTTAATTCATCAGAAAATATGGAGATAAGCTGGGTCTTTAGGGATTTGTTTACCTCTTGTTTCTTTATTTTGCGTTGTTGTTATTGTTTTTTTTTGAAGGGCACATAAATATGTAAAGGTTTTCTAGGTAGAATCTATTGACAAGAAAGTAGAAGTGGATATAGTATATTTATCAGACAGTTAGTTTAGGTGTCAGAGAATAAACAAAATGCTTCATTTTAGGTTTTATAACCATCAAAAGAACTTTCATTTTTTAAGTTTATTAGAAAGTTTAGATAATAGATTGAGTCTCTGTCTCAAAAAAAAAAAAACAACACACAGAAATTATTCTAAACTTAATAGAGCATCAAAGAAGGGAACTGAACACAAGAAAATGATTTTTTAAAAACATTGTTTCATTGCATTGAAGTAATTCATGTTGGTAGGAGTTTTGAGGCGATAAGAATGCTCTTTCCCTTCTCTTCCCAAGTTCATAACCAACTAAAAGATGGACATGGTGAACAGACTAATGGAGACTAAATGGTCTTCTTATTGATGAGAGCTGAATTGCACATGACTTAAGTGTGTAGGCAGAAAGATTTTCCTGATTGCAACCAGTGATTATCAACTGAGGGTATCTTGTCCCAGTCCCTGCACCCCCAACCTTCACCCTTCCCCTGCCAGAACATTTGGCAGTGTTTGGAAATATTTTTGGTTTTCACAACTAGGAGGAGGTGTTACTGTGGGAGAGGTCAGGGTAGCTGCTAAACATCTTACAACTCAAGGATAGCTCTACACAGAATTATGAATTATCCACTTTAAAATGCAGTAGTGCTGGATAACACAGTCTACAACCCCCATCCCTCTTCAACTAGACAATTTCAGGTTTCCCCTGTAGGACAGGCAGAAAGCTTTAAGCATGATAGACAGCATGATAGACGGAATCCCTTCCTCTCCTCCCTGAGACCCACTTGTCCTATTATGGACTGTTAGCTCCAAAACACTAAGATGAGTATGCATGCATTTCAGAAATTCACAGTCCATCTGACACTCATCCAGGTTTAGAACCCAGATGTACAGCCAACTTAAAGTAGCTCCCAATAGCCAAATCTGAGATATTATGAGCAAAAATAAAATGATTATAAAGGATTATGATACATGCAGTAAAAGAAATATTTGTGAGTTACTACTGAGACAAATGAATAATGGAGTATGTAAGTAAACAGGGGACAATTCTTCCTTACATCAGAATTTCAGTAAATAAATGTAGCAGGAATGATATACTTTAGGAAATTGCTAATTGGCAAGAACTAAAGCAATAGCTGTTGCAGTTAAATATCAATGAATGATAAATTAGTGGGTGAAAATATAATGTGAAATAGGATATTTACATAGCCTCAAAGTATCTCCCCACTAAGGATTTATTAATCATATAGGGAATACTACAAACTTTATATTGCCAAAGCCTGACAGCCCCTTAACCTGGTGGTGGTGGCGGGGGGGAGGGGGGGTGTCAGGTCATAGGAGTTTGAATTCATTTTTATGTGAATTAAGGGAAAGCCATTGGAGGCCTCTTGGTGTGTTGAGAAGAATGGACTGGAGAGGTTCAGACAAGCCAGCAGAAGGTTAACTGTAGGTGTGTAGGGAAGAGACGATGGTGTATTGGACAGTGGTGATTGCAACAGCAAGGGAGTATTTGTGTAGAATCAATAGAATTTCCCAGCAGATCAGGCAGGGGGCTGAGGGAAAGGGAGGAATCCACCATGATTTACACTTGTCTGGCTTGAACACTGATGGAAGACGGTGTTATTTACATGGATGGAGTGATCTATGACAGCAACAACAAGAAGGACAGTATGGAATGAAGATTAGTATTAAAATATTTGAAGGTGTTAAAAATCACCTAGTTTCAGTTCGAGGTTCAAAGAATTATTTAATGTTGTTAAGGATGAAGGCTTGAACTACCACCCCCTAGCATTTAGCCGTTGCTCTCTGCCTGGTCCTGTGCTAATACTTACATGAATTATGCAATAATCCTCAACCCTGGCATATGTTCATTTTGGGTCCCAGTTTATAAATGAGGAGATTGAGATTTAGAGAAGTTAGGCAGCCTTCCCAGAGGCAGACAGCTAATAGGTGGCTCAGCCAAGACTTGAGCCCACATCTCTGTGCCTTCAGAGCCTAGTGCTCTTCCTCCTGAAGCTTTACTGCCTCTTGTATACCCCTTGCCAAATAAAACTCAAATGTCTTTCCTTTCACTGTGTCTTATGAGAATACCACTCAATTCATAGAAATGAGAATTCAGTTACATGCGTGACTGTATCAAATCAGCAAGCAATCCCGTTTAAAATTTTAACAGGGTGATGAAGCAGATTTTGTGGGTAAGTGGGTGGGTTGTTTTCTTTGAATGTGCCAGATGGTCTCTGCCACCAGCACTTCCTGTCTGTGGCAGGTATCCTTGTACTTTGCTAAGATCTATGAAGTGATCTGGGTCTATTGCGCCTATTAAAATTTCCAGTGCCCTGCAGATAACTGAGTCTATGCCTTAATCTCCGGATTTACCAAGTGGAAAGAAAACAATGAATTGAAAAGAATACTTCCTACTATGAAAAACTATCTTGTACTTCTAAGTACTCATTAATAATTAGGAGATAATTCATTAGTTCTTTTTTATATTGAAATTGGCTGCTTAAGATGGGTAATGAACTAATAATAATAGCATAGTTGTGTTATCTGGACATGACAGGCTTTACTGCCTAATATTTTTTTTAAAACTACGCAGAAGTACTCTGGCAATAACCAAGCATCAGTTGACTTATTCAAGAGTTAGTAAATATGTGTGGTTACTGGTTACTTAGCGACGATTACATCTGAACACTTTCCTAACTAATGTTTCTGAAAATGATGAGTGTGACTGCAAGGAAGAGTGATCAAGGAAGTAGATGTGTTTAGGCAACCAAAGCAAATTATGTAGCAATTTTCTCTTTGGGGTCATTATTGTTCAGTCATTTCTTACATTTGAATTCATACTTTCCTGTTGTCATTTATTCACCTGGCTTATAAGACTCTGGAGAGGCCAAAATTAATAATTCAGT